AGAGTTATTTCCTATTTTCTATATATATTTTACACACACATACACACACACACACACATATATATATATATATATATATATATATATATTTGTCCCATAATAATGGGACAATTTTAAATGCAAGTATCCTAAATTATAAAAATGACATAACCAAGTATATTTATTACATAACAAGAGTTGAACACATTATCTAAGATTTGAATATTACCCTCCCCGAGAAGGTCACCAATACCAAGAGAACATGCACGTGCTCGCTTTCTCAGTTCAAACACAGTACGACTTAGCATACCAACAGAAATGGATGAGATATCACAACGGATGCTTTGTTTTAGTTCCAAATATGTGTAGGGAAGCCCATCACAGAATATTTCAAGTTTAAATATTTATTATTTATTAATATTTTAAGTACAAGATATATTTAGTTGAAGCCATATAATTGTGTTCAAAATATTTAGATTTCGTCATTTAAAAATCCATAGAGGTTGATATGACGCTAAACAAAATCAATCAACCCACCAACCATGAAGAGATTAAATAGACTGAGTCTCTAATGACCACCTTGTGCTACTTATGCTGAGGTTTGAAATATTTCGGTATTAATGCCCTCGCCAAACATGTAAATTTCTTGTTAGATTTTTGCAACGATCCCAGTCATTAACAAGAACCGGTGTTATCAATGTGATAGAAGTTCTTTTTTTTTAGCTACATCCTGGTATATTTATTTTTTATTTATTTATTTTCTGAACGCTGAGATTTAAATTAATCCAATGTTACGTGTTGATAATTTTAACAAAGGAAAAAAATGATTTACCACCACACAGAGCTAAATCACAAACAAATATTTAATTTACTAAAACACAACATAAAAAAATATACAAGATAAACAATTGGTGGCCTACAAAACAGAAAACACAGAGTTACTGTCGAAGTGTTACGAGGGAGAAGGAAAGGGAGTCAAATATCTTTATCACTTTTAGGGCCAGTGAAGTAATCTAAGTGCTATATTTGGAAATCCACAAAGGTGTGTAAATAAATATTAATTTTTAGTTTGGTCAATGAAAATTAGTCAAAATTCTATTTACCAAATTTGTTCCATGAAATTTTCTTTTGGGTTTTTGTTGGTCGGCAACTTTTTATTCTTTCGGCTGGATATAATAGTCCTTGAATCAAAAGCCGGAGTTGATAACAGCAGAAATTCTTTTCACCAACGAACTACCCTTTTCCAAAATCCCATTTTTATAGGGGCTAACACCTAATTTGCATATTTCTAGATGTTTCTCGAATCATCTAGATTCTTCTCGAATATACTAGAATGATCTAGAATCTTCCAAACATTCTATTTCTAATTTCTCTATTTTACAACTACTTCATGAATGAAAACTTTTTTTGTAATAACAAGTAGAACTCAGTGGAATGCCTTATTATAGAAATGCATCCCCGTAACATCCAAGCCGACGCCATGTTTAAAACGGTTACATGGAGCGCTGGATATATATATATATAAATAAATATAAACAATCGCTGACATAGAAAGGAATGATTCAGAGATCATAGCCAATTCTTCCCGTATGTGCTATACCTGTGAAGATAATAACACTGTTACTTCTATTACCAACCTTGACAGAATCGAATCTATATAAATATGCGTTCTGTGGATATTTGTTGTAGATCTAGAATTGTATCTTCTTTCTTTTTTTTTATATTGCGAGCACTAATACACTGATACTGTGCGTAAAGCCTGTGAGTTTTGGAAATATGTATATAGATGTGTCCATTCGCATGTATGTTGTGTGTGTGTGAGAGTGCACGCGCGTATGTGCCTGTACGTCATATGAATGTTGTTGTATACACATGATATTACAAAAGTGATTTAATAAAAATAAATAAATAAATAAGATGAACAGGGCAAAAATTATTCTTTCTAAACGTGACAGGAATATATTTGCATTAAACTCTCATCCACACAAACACACTCATAACGTGCTTTTGTAGGGGTGGTGGGGGGAGCACGCCTGCCTCGTTCTCGATGTTTTTACACTGATGGTGCAAAATGTAGAATCGTCGGAAAGACTGTGTTTTCTCACATTCATCATGTCTCGTAAACGCCCCACACGATCAATAAAAACTGACACACTCACGTGATAAGCCGTTGTGTGAAGGGGGTGGGGGGGAATAGATTTACTTGCACGCGTCACTTGAAAATATGATTCTGTGATCAGTGGACACTAAGAATGAGAATGTTGAGAAGTTTACTGCAGGTACCGGATCGGTGACAATCGTTATCAGAAATACACACGAAAAGCATAAGCCTTCAGTTTATAATTTACAAACTCTTGATAGATTCAGTGTTAGAAATTAAGCCTCATAAAACTTCACATGTGTGCGTTATATTATTTTTTTTATTTTTTTTTCTAAAAGGAACACCGGCAGTCAAATATGATATATGCTGACTCATTAATAATTCATTACTTATCTTTCTCAGGTCGTTTTATTTTCGTTTTTATTTTTTAATGATTTTCGTTTATTTTTCGCGTGAGCACGTGTGTATACGTACGTGTGTGTGTGTGTGTGTGTGTGTGTGTGTGTGTGTGTGTGTGTGTGTGTGTGTGTGTATGCGCACGCCTTGGGTGAGACGTGCGTCAATATATAAACTGCGCATGCGCGTGATTCGAACTAATTAGAAGAACACACACACAAAAATGTTCACGTATTTTTATCAAATTTAAGATAAATAAATAAATAAATATTCCTTTCCCGAATGACTGCGCTGTTATATCACTGATCTCTTGCTTCCAGCGCTGAAAATATGAAATCCTTGAATTAAAACAATTTGAAAATACTTAACTCTTTCCATGCAACACTTCTTATTTAGTTTGATTTTCCTTAAATTTGGTTGTCTTTCTGCAACAGAAAGGCAGTTAAAAAAATTTATCTTACACATTCATAAGTCTACAATTCTTTCGCGATTTGAATATTACTGCCACACATGGTCTGGTGCTCCTGTTATATATTAACAGATTCTTGAAAAATCCAAAGAAGAATCTGCAATGTTATTAGTCTTGACCTAGCATCCCGACGTCAGTCGTTACCCTCACCGCTGTAACGTAGTTTCCTTGTGCTTTTTCTATAAATATCTTCATGGCGGTTGTTCTGATGAACATTCCCCTATGGTATATAGAGTTTATGAATTTAAGAGCAGATTGACAACAAGGCCTCACCCCAATTCGCTTAATGTAACTGTAAGTTATTTGTTAACAGTTTTTCTTTTCTCGTACGTTATGTCTCTTCTGGCTTATGCAATGTCATTGGTAATCTGACATCTCGACTTCAGTTAATTTCCCACAGCTTCCCTGTGCCTTTTCTATAAAGTAATTGTTCTAATGGTAATTGTTCTAATGAACTTTCCCCGCTTTCCTCTTCCGTTAGAGGACAGAGATGTCAGTTCTCTGGTAGATGCGGGGCGCTTTTCGTTTTTCGAGTGTGGATTTCGTATTTGTTTTTGTGTCTGGATTAGTGAGTATTTGAGTGAGTGTTTGGATGAATGATTGTTCTTAATTACCTAGTCCTGCATTCATTTCGTCCAGTTAACTGATTTTTCTGCCACAATTAAGGATTTTTAGGGTTTTTTTTACTAACACTATTTTGTCTAGTTTCTTCTATATAAATTACACTCATTGTAATTATTCATTGAGATTTCAGTTATAAATGTTGTTTTTATTTTTCCCCAACCTCCGCCACAGACAAATTGTACATATGGTAACTAGTTTGGACTACATAGAGACTTTGTGGTATTATGGTGGATGTAATAAAAATAGTAAGTAAGAATGTGTTGTCTTGATGTAAGGAATACTGCAGTATTTTGCGGCCAGTAATCATGGCTAGTTAGGTTTAATTATAAGACAGATCCTGGAAGACCAACCTTCCCCTATTCTTCCCTTTTTGGCCTTGTGCCACATTTTTGTATTATTCAAAATAAATATTACTTTCTTCTATGGTAGCTAGATTTTATGTATTTAACCGCAGTACTAGATTGGCAACAAGGTCTCATATTTTTATAGATGAAATGGCTAGATGCAACCGTAAGTTCTATGTGAACAGTTTCTTCTACCACCCTTCTCGCTTGGGAATTTTATTCTGGCTTCTTACTTTCCGGCCAACTTATGTCTTCAAAAATTTAAACACAATGCCAATCGTTATCTACTCAAGAAGATTCCTTCCCTATGGTGCATAGATTTTATGAATTTAAGAGTAGTACTAGAATGGCAGTTGAATTGGATTGATGTAACAGTAAATTGTTTACTAACAGTTTCTTTTCTCGCTCTTCTTACCTGTGAAAGTCTCCTTCGGCTTCTCACTTTCCAGCCAACTTTGAGCTTCAAAAATTTAAATGCAATGTCAATTGTTATTTACTGCTCTTTTGATTCCTCTTCTTTTATTGTTTTCTCTCTTTAATAATGTTTATCTTTTTCTTATATTCTTTCGTACTCAGTAACCTCTCGTGTCTTTACTGGCGTTACTGTCTTGTTTGAGATAAAATAATTTTCATATTTTTACTTTCTGGAAGTTGTAATTTGGAATAACTGCAGTGAAGCGGTTATGTTTCCATTTTAGCCCGGTTGCAAGAGTCTGTCACAAGAAGAAAGACAATGCTCTGGAATAAATAAGATCTATTCTTCAATCGTTCTGTCTTGCTTCTTCAATGGGCATTTTTACCAAATAACAACAGGTTGTTTTTGTTTAGCTGCATATCGACCTCTTCGTGCAATTTAATGCCGAAATCTAAATATTCTGTATACAGTTTTTTTTATTGAGATAATAATGGTTTTAGTGATACAAGTTCTACTAATTAACCCATAGCTGGAGAAGGAGGAGAGATGGATTCATACCTTCTTCAAGGGTATTTGTGCGTAAGTGAATATAACGAACCCAACCGGAATTGGAACTCGGCCCTTCGATTGAGAATTCCGAGCCATCATTTATTACACCACCCACATATCAAGCTTACAGCTTACTGGTATTCCCAAGCGGTCACCCATCTAGGTACTGACCAGGCTCGACGATGCTTAATTTCGGTGATCGTACGGGAACAGGTGTTTCAACGAGATGTGGATGTAAGCCCATATTTTTTGTATTCTACATACACTTATGCGCAGCATACAAGTGGGGTGTCTTGTATCAAAATGCAATAAACGAAGAGTTTTAATAAGAGAGTGGCTCTTAAGTCTTTTCACGGGTCAAACATTGAGGATTTAAGCAAATATTTTTTTTTCAGGGCCATTACTATAACACTCAACCTTGTCCTCTCGTCTTTTTGCACTTTCTGATAAGATAGTAGCACGTGGAAAAACCTTACATTATTAGTATGCGAAAAAGCCTTACATTATTAGTATGCCAAAAAGCCTTACATTATTACTATGCCAAAAAGCCTTACATTATTAGTATGCCAAAAAGCCTTACATTATTACTATGCCAAAAAGCTCGTGTAAATTAAATATCATCTCGTACAGTTCACATAAAATCGAAGTCACATTCATGCACCATCATCTCGTCAGATAATACAACAAATCCTAAAGACAAGGTTACGATCAAATTTTAAAAAAAGAATAAATTAGGCAACTTGTCCTCAAGGACACATGGTACAAAGGATAAAGGCGTTGGTTAGATCGAATGACAGGACCCAAAAAGCGTGAGTTCAATACCAGGTTAAGGCAGTGGAGAACATGGAGAGGGGAATTAACAGGAAATAACTGATAACTGACATCCACGTGGCACGTGAAATTAAAACAGTCTGCCCCAGTGAGCAAAATAAAGTTCGAAATTCAGTTCGACATTCCAGCCACCTGAAGAAGGCCGGAGCGTACAACGGCTGAAACGTTGTGATAAATATGGCGACAAAGATGAGAGCAATAACGTAAATAATGTTTAAACAACTTGGTTTTGCAACTTATTCAAATTTTCGAAATATTTTTGAATGTCCTTTTCAATGTTATTCGCTTTCTGTTTCACCAGTATTTTTCTTCTTCTATGTGTTTCAGGACATAGGCGATCATGGCTCTCTACTACTTTCTATCTTGTGTGCGTCTTAAGCCTTTTTATCCCTTTGCCTAAACCCCGTCCCCCCGTTCCGCCATCCGTTCACACAAAAGCTCACCAAGGAAGTGGTTCACTGCTTTCTCCTTTCTTTTCCTCAATATGCCCTGTGGGCGTTAAGTTTTCCTAGGCTTCCTACCTCATTATGTAGATTTCAGCTGTCTGTTCCTGATTTTTCTTTCTGTTGCCATTTTCTTGAAGATCCTTGCTTACTCTTCCGTCCATGAAATTTTCAGTATCCTTCCGTGGTATCACATTTCTGTTGCCGCTAGTTTTCTCCTCATTCAGTACCTTACCTCGCTTTTGGAATGCTTCTTTCGCTAACTTCTGCATCTGCTTGACATTTTTTAAAAAATGTCCTTAAAAATTGTTTATCAAAGAAAGAAACGTACTAATTCTAGCAAAGGAAAATGGATCACTATTTTTTAAGCAATGCAACGAAATAAAATCTAGATTTACGGCCACATCACGTCGAAATACCGGTTAACCAAAATCACCGAAGTTAAGCAGCGTCGAGACTGTTCAGTATCTGGAAGGGTGACCGCTTGGGAATATCATGTACTGTGAGCTTGGATATGCACGTGGCGTAATGAATAACGGCCATATCACGTTGAAATACCGGTTGAAACACCGGTTCTCGTATGATCACGAGAGTTAAGCAACGTTGAAACTGTCCAGTACTTAGATGGGCGATCCCTAGGAAGTACCAGATGTTTCAATCTTACCTGTGCGCGTGGTGTAATGGGTAAAGATTCAGAAATGGAAATCGGAGAGCCGAGTTCAAATTCCAGTTGCATTAGTTATATTCCGTTAGCGCAAATTACTTTCGGAAAAGTATGAATCAACCTTTTCTCCCCGCAGCTATGGGTTAACTAGTAGGACTTGTACCAGCAAAATAATTTTAACTCTTCCCTCTCAAAACGTTCTTAAAGTTAAAAAATATTTTCTGTCTTTAAATAACCCACAAAAGGTTGATAAACCGTAAAAAAAAACAAATCAATTAATGGATGAAATAGAATCTTTCAATAGGCGTCACCTCATAAAAGCGTGCATTTAAAAACTTGAACTGTAATGATTAGAGTTTCGAGTTTGAGCCCTGAAGGAAAATGTAAAGTAAATAAACGGAGTGATCTTATAAGATCGGGGATGGGCAGGATTTGAAAGTTTTCTTTAAAAAAAACAACAAAAAAAAAAAAAACGCTACCCACTTCTATTGAGCTCCTAAGTGTATATTGACAATCAGAAAGAAGGAATTAAAATTTCTGAGACTCAAGAGGAAAAATAGCCTTGAAGAATTTACCATTTTCATGACATATTGAAGGACACCTTTTTACAAATTTGTGTGAATTGATGACAGAACAAGGACAAACAGGAATGGTATAAGGTCAAGTTACTTTGAGCAACAAAAGACAAGAAATTATGAAGACCCGATAGCCAATATTCTGAAAGAGTCAGTTCATTAGATAGGAATTGAATATAAGACATCACTTTTTTTTATAATTTCACCCCAATCAAGGCAATAAAGACACTAAGACGCAAGGGGTCACTGAGTGTGAAAAATAAGAAAAAGATAAATATTATTAAAGGGAGAAAACAATAAAAAGAAAAGGAATCAAGAGGGCAGCAGATAACAATTGACATTGCATTTAAATTTTTGAAGATCAAAGTTGGCTGGAAAGTGAGAAGCCGGAAGAGACTTTCACAGGTAGGAAGAGCGAGAAAAGAAACTAATAGTAAACAACTTACGGTAACATCAACCCAACTGTTGTTAATCTAGTACTGCTCATAAATTCAAAAAATCTATGTGCCATAGGGGAATGTTCATCAGAACAATCGCCATGAAAGTATTCATAGAAAAGACACTGGGAAGATACGTTACGACGGTGGTAAATTGAATGGAGCCGAGAAGCTAGTTGAGGACCAATGACATTGCAGATTCTTCCTTTATCAAGAATCTCTAAATATATAGCAGGAACACCAAACCATGTGTGATAGTAATATCCAAAGCGTTGACGAATGGTAGGATTATGAATGTGTAAGATAGAGACTGGAGAGAAAATTGTCTAGCATGTCTCTGAGCCGATATAGCAATTGATTCAATATAATCTTTTTATTTGAATGAAGAGTGAACTTGTCTATTAACCATGAAAAAGTTGGGGTTTTTTTTAAACATTAAGTTTATATAACCTTGTAATTCTGGAGAGAATTTTTAAAAAGCAAAAGAACATTATTTATTAAGCAATGCAATGGCGTAGAATCTTTCAACACGCGTCATATCATAAAAACGGGCAAGTGAAAATTTAAACCAATTCTAATAATTACTGTTTCCTTTTAGAGCTCTGGGGAAAAGTGGGGAATTAATAAACGAAAAAGTTTTAATAAGCTCGGGGCTTGTAAAATTTTCTCAAAAAATATAATAATAATTCTATTTTCTATTAGGCACCTAGGCTGATTAAACTCGGCATCAATTTCGTCTTAATCAAGCTGACTGCTTCTTGAGCGGGTTAATTAGAAAAATAAGAAGTCATCTGAGCCTGATTTAGAGTTAACTCCCGGATTTTAGCAAAGTAACATTCCGGCTTCAAACTGACTAATTTTATTTATTCATATCCTTCCAACGAAATCTCTAAGACGCAAGGTGTTACTGAGTGTCAAAGAATATGAGAAAAAGAAAAACGTTATTAAGGAGAGAAAACAATTTTTTTCCTGCTTGTTGGGCAACATGAATTATATGACTCAAAATTCTTTTTTGATATTATCAAAATGGATTCAAAAAGAATTTATATATATATATATATATATATATATATATATAGTTTATATATATATATATATATATATATAGTTGACCTTTATCCGCGGTTTTGTTTTCCGCCGTTCCAATTATTTGCGATCAACCCATATTATAAAAAAAATTGGCAAACATGAACCTTTGTGACCTAAAAAAAGCGAAGTTTCAAAACGACATTTTTCCCTTGACACCGCTATTATTTTAACTACCTTCCACCCACGAAAATATTTATAGTTTTAAAAGGCGATGTAACAAAACCTAATCATATGATGAAAGTGAATTTATACATTTTTTGTTCTTGAGAATTTACAACAAAAATATTAAACACTATTTATTTATTAGATTGTTTATTTACAAGAATCGTTTTATATTTACAACCTTCTAAAATCTAATACAATTAGAATTAATGCAATGCAATATTTGTCATTTACCAATTTATAAAAAATAAATATGATGATGATTTTTTTATTCATAAACTTGTAAACATTTACTAAATTACAGTGTAACCCGGATATAAGAGAGTTGTCGGGACCGGAGAAGTCTCTTATATCCGGGTTTCTCTTATATCCGGGTTTGGTCTATTTTATATACATTAACACAGGCTCTAATTTAGGACTAGAGAAATATCCGGGTTTCTCTTATATCCGGGTCTCTTATATCCGGGTCTCTTATATCCGGGTCTCTTATATCCGGGTTACACTGTATTAAAATACGTGAACTATAAGAAAATATTTATTATTTACCATTTTATAAAATCCGAAAGCCATTTTTTGCCAACTATTCAAATAAAAAAATCTAATAAATAAACAGTGTCTATTATTATTGTTGTCAATTCTCAAAAACAAACAATAGAGCTTTATCCAATAACAAGAATCAGATCACGTAATGACTTCCAACACCAGCAACAACTAAAATAGATAGCACATTTAACTAGAAAGGAAAATAAAGATATCACCAAAAATGTTAGACATTCCACACTGTCTTAAACAAAAGGTTTGGAAGTAAACTCCCATCAGTAATAGAAAGAGTAATAACATTTATTAAACTCCAGAAGACTACTTCAAATCAGTTTTAAGAGAAAGAATTTATAAATTACAACCGACAGTAACGCAAATTGTTCCATCAATGAATGCCTAATGTTTCCTGTATGGAAACGGTTCATCTCACTATTACCATTATAATCTACATAATAGTAGATTAAAAGTATCAGTTTTGTTGCGGCTATTACCGTGTAATCAGAAGAGTGACGGTAGACCAAAAGGACTAAATTGAGTGAATATAATTTTGTGTAACATAGCTTTCTTAGCTTCCAATCTGCTTGGAAACTAATGACTGATGGAAACGACACGACGGCGAATGTCTCACCTTACTTTAATATCAGCTCCAAGAGTGAGTAACAATATCGAGCCACATGACAAATCCCATCCAGCAATATTAAAAATGATAGCAAAACAACTAAAGGAAACGAGAAAAAAATAACAGTCCCAATGAAGCAGCAGTCGCCTGCTGTCAAACGAAATAAATTGAAGATAAAAAGTGAATGGACGGCGAGCGATGAAATTTGAACAGTAACAACGAAATATTAGCAATTCAAATCTGTTACGAGTATAGAATCCAAATCTCGTGGTATCTCATGTCTTATTGAATATTCTGTTTTCTTCATATGTTTACCTTGATAAAGCGGATGGCAAAATATTCATTTGTTTCTTATTTTATTTCCATGGCATATTCTAGTTTCAGTGTCATCACGATTATTGGGATTATGTGATGTTTTACTCCAACTCGTGGTTTTTATAAATGCTCAAGTGAAAACAAATTTCCTTAAAACACAGTCTTCACTTTAACGGTCTGCGAATTTCTTTCTTTTTTTATCATTTTACCACCAGAAAGACGATAATGTCACTAGGGCGATGGGGTTCCTTGGAGTAAAAGAGAAGAAGAAGACTTTACTAAGGCGAAAGGACAATAAAAGAATTGATAGACAGATGGTGATTGACGTTGTATTTAATATTTTGAAGATCGTATATGTCTCAAAAGCGGGGAAAACTTTTAGAATAAAAATTACAGGCATTGTATAGGAATCATTTTAAAAACATGAAAGACATTGGCGGTTGACCTAGAGCAATGTTTTTCAACATTATCTTACGGCGCACTTGCAACTCTAGTTAAACTTCAACAGTACACTTAAATCATGATAACAAAGTGTTAAAAAACGAGTATACCTTTTATGATCTATTTATTAGCACAAACAAAACCATTTATTATAATTTGTAATAAAAAGATAATAATTAAAATGCTTTTAAGAATTAATTTATTATGATTTAACATTTAATGAGATATCTGAGATGGCATTTTTTGATTTCTAGAATATTTTCTAGCAAGATCGAATTTTGAACAGGTATACTTTGTTATGGTCCAAGTTGCTTGTACCACGGTGATGGTCCAATGTTAGAACCAATGAAAGAATAACACGAACACAGGTATGGAATACTAAGATATACTAGAAACAGAAATATAATACAAAGAAGTAGAAGTATTAGTAATGACTATCAGATTTGGTTAGAGTGAACTATGTTGTCTCGACAAGTATCACTATTCCAATGTCCTTACAATATGCTCTCAATTATCTCTCCTTGTCTTACAATCTCCTCATACCTCTTGAGAGGCGCAGTATTTATAATATCAGAAATAGTCCATTATTATTATGGGTAAGTTCCCATAACACTCTTCAATCTTCCAATGATTCTAGTCCTGATCCATTTGTTTTTAATATTGCAGAAAAGCTTGCATCTTATATTATTTTATATATTACTTTTATTTTTTTATAACAATGATATACTTGTGTAATCAGTTTAAAAGGGTTTCGTTAAAAGCTGAGTGTATATGTCAACGTTGCTGAAACAAGTACTACAAGGTATCCCCCCAA